ATGATTTGGATTATACAATACAAGTATTGGTAGGCAAAGTTCCACATGGAGTATTAGGAATTCAGGAACTCAGGTTATTATATGGTGAATGGTTACCTTTGAAGAGATTGAAGTGTTTTGAAACAAAAATTTTAAGTCAAGTAAAGATTGATCCAGTAAAATTGCCCCATACTCCACCAGTATTTACTAAACAGTATCCTATTAAAGGAGGACATGAAGAGATTAGCACCACAATAAAGGAAATGTTGGAAAAAGATATAATAGAAAAGGCATCATCATTTAAATATAACAGTCCAGTATGGCCTGTTATGAAACCTAATGGCAAGTGGAGATTGACGGTAGACTATAGGAATATAAATAAAGTAACCCCCTCTATGCCAGGTACTCTCCCAGATGTAGAGTCCATTTATGCTCAAATTAGAAATTTTTCACCTACTTGTTTTTGTGCTATAGATTTGAGTGATATGTTTTTCGCTATCCCATTAGATATTAAGAGTAGAGAATTGACTACATTCACTTGGGAATCAGTACAATATAGGTTTAAGAGGTTACCACAAGGATATAAAAATAGCCCAATTATAGCACATGTAACTTTACAAGAAACGTTAAAGGATTTTCAAGATAAAGGAACTACTAAGTTATGGTCATATGTAGATGATATATTAATTGCTGGGAAAGATATGACCGAGTTAAATAAGGTAAAGGACGAGGTAGTTACATTATTGAAGTCAAAAGGATGGTCCATCAATCCTGATAAAATTCAGGGTCCAGCCACGTCAGTTAAGTATCTGGGGGTGGTGTGGACTACAGAAGGACCTAAGGTTCCGGATGCAGTGATAAATAAGATTTTGGCTTTACAGTCACCAAAAACCAAGACAGAGGCTCAGCAGGTGATGGGCATTTTGGGATATTGGAGATTACATATTCCATATTTGCAAATGATTCTGGCTCCAATACACAGGGTATGCAGGAAAGCTGCGGACTTTGTATGGGGACCGGAACAGAAAAAGTCATTAGAATTAGCTAAGGAATATGTTCAGACATATACCCAATTGTATGTACCTCAACCTGGTGAAGAAATTGTAATTGATATAATATATGCCAATGACTTTGGAAATTGGGGCATATATACTAAAAGTAATAGTCAGACTAAACCAGTTGGGTTTTACTCCAAAAGATTTCCTTTTTCCGAAAACAAGTACTCTTTCTTTGAAAAAACAGTGTGGACAGCTTATACGGCGGTACAGAGTCTAGGTTTTGTTTTAACTAATAGAGTAGTTACATTAAGAACTCAGATACCAATTTTGGATTGGGTACGAACTAAGGAGGAAGACTTTAGAGGTTTACCCATGGAACAAAAAGTGTTGAAATGGAAATGGTATTTGTTAACTATAATTAATGATGCAACAGTGTCAGGGAATAATAAGACATTAAGGTTATCAGAATTAGTTTTTGCTCAGCCTATGGTAGAAGTACCGGTAGAGGTTAAACAACCAAAGACACAACCTATTGGAAGATGGGGGGCAGTTGCTTCTCATAAAAATGCATGGTTCACAGATGGATCAAGTAAAGTAGTAGGAAATATCACTAAATGGAAAGCTGTGGCATATCGACCAAGTGATAATAAGATCTTAGTGAAGGAAGGCTCGGATGCCTCAGCACAGTTAGCAGAGCTCTGTGCAGTAAAATTGGCCGTTGAACAATCTATCCATGAAAAGAAAAAGTATATACACGTTTTTTCGGACTCATGGGCAGTTTGTAATGGTATTGCCATATGGTCTGCAAAGTGGAAGGAATCTGATTATAAAATTAATGGAAAAGATGTATGGGGAATACATATTTGGAAATTTCTTGCGGAGGCACCTATACATGTAAAGATAGCGCACGTTGATGCTCACACAGGACGTACAGATGAAATATCTAAATTTAATGATGTGGCAGACAAATTGAGTAAATTTGACTCCGAAGGGCTAAAATTGGTGAATAAGGCACCTTGGAATATATTAGATAGAACAGATACAAAGATTCGGTTGAAACGTGACCCAAATTGGCATATAAAACTTCCTGAATTGAATGCTGATATTTCGGAGGATGAGATCCGACAATTGCATAAGGAATTAGGACATATTGGAACACATGGAATGTTCCAGTGGTTTCAGGGCAGAAATATAAAAGTTACCTGGGGAGCATGTAAGCGTGCGATATCTGGATGTGAACTATGTGCATCCTCGGTGCAACGTTTCCGGAGAGATCCACCCCACAATAGACCATCCCCTAGAGGATTTAATGAGAAGGTACAAATTGATTATATTGGTCCTTTGCAGAATGGAAAATATGTGTGTACTATGGTAGATTGTAGTACCGGATTGGGACATGCATGTGCAAGTAGACATGCAGATCAAAGCTCTACTATGAAAACTATTTGGAGCTGGTGTGCAGCATATGGATGTCCTTGGAATGTGACTTCTGATCAGGGTTCTCATTTTACTGGTAGAAATGTTCAGAAATTAGCTGACGTTTTAGGAATTAATTGGGATTTTCATTTGGCCTATAATCCACAAGCAGCAGGAAATATTGAAAGGTTCAATGGATTATTAAAGACTAAATTGTGGCAGATAGGACAAGATGTGCCATTTGACAAGGCAATACTGATTGCAGTTTTTGAACTTAATTCTAGGCAAAGACTGCACAGGAGATCACCCTTTGAGGAAACATTCCAAAAGGACATCGATGTGCAGGCAGACGGGGACCCAAACCCAGATAATATAAGACCATATAAGGTGTGGATACGTAACAGAAAAGATAACTCTGTGATTAAAGGTGAGATTGTATCACACGGACAAGGAAATACCCTATGGGTATCAACTGGAAAAGGGGACCTCAGATTAGTAAAAAGCCAAGATGTTGTCACTAGGTAAACGTTTGTGTGTTTGGTTTAACATATGCTTTATTATCCTGATTGTATATTCTTGCTTGTTTTGGGGTGGATATTTTTATTGTAACGAATGGCAGACAGCTCTTTTGAATGGTTCTACTTGTTTTAATCATTCACACATTCACAACGGTGCTGACTGTACCCATATTAACGTGAACCAAACGTATCATAAATTGTTGGTACGGGATTTGCTACCCTGTTATGTACTTAATTATACACTATGTTTCTGGTAATGGCACCTAGGACTTTGTTACTTTTGCTATTTTTGCTACTTTTGATAGCCCTGCAGTTCTATTCAGTAATGGGAAATCAAACTACAACTCCCACTACTTTTACTACTATAACTCCATATTATTTTGGTATCAGGAACATTAACCTGACCAAGCATTCTTACAAAGATTGGATCTTCAATTATATTAATTTCACTCATTCACTTCAAGAGTGTAATAATTCTTGTGCAGTAATACCACAATATTGGAGAAGTAACAAATTCCTACAAAATTTTACTGCTATTAGATACTTGTTTTATCATAATTATGCATTTTGCCACCATTATAACAAATACTCCGCACCTAAGGGGTGTGACCATTTTTGGGACATCAATACAGTTGGGGTATATAGCCCAATGTTTAGATCTAGTGCGGATGGAGGATATTCTAATAAATATGAAACTAACCCCCTCCGATGTCATCTGGTACCTGGGATTATGGATATGTGGTCTTATAAGCCACATTTTGTGTATTATTATAGGAAACTTGGAGGCAAACCTTTAGTTAAGAGCTATAATGCTACAGCAGCAGTGCTTAATAATCCAAACCTTACTGTATATACTTTTGAGGAGTCTACAGAAGAGAATGACTTTACATGTATAAAAGCAGCAGAAAAGGATGTTGCATCACTGCCTTTTCAGGTTTGGGTGTCCAACAAACAGAATGATTATAATTTATTCGATTATGAATATGAAGAATATGACTATTCTTCATATGATGATGGAGAGGAAGAAGGTTCTGATGAATTTACAACTACAACCCCACGAACAACTACGTTGGGGATAAATTTGTTGCCATATAATGATTCTAAGAAAATGTTGGATGAGTGGAAAGGATTGCCTAGACATTTACAAGGAGCTAGGCCATTGCCTAGATGGCCGCAAGTTTTAGTTGAACCCTACGGGACATGGTGTCCAAAAGAGTTACAGCAGTATCTAGATTCCATGAGCACTAAACAAAGGAATATGTCTATATATATTGAAGATGTGCAAAGCAGAACTCATTTGAATTATACCCATTATGTATCTTGTGTAGCGGATTTTCCTAATTTACCTATATATGGAAAGTTCGAGATTCTACAGAATCCTGATAGATCCTTAGAAATACGGAACCAATCTTATCTTACTATAGATAATTGGTGGAAAGTCAATACCTTAGGTACCGCCACTTGGCGATCACCTGTTGTGTTGACCGACCCTTTACCACAGCCATTTACCCATAACTTGGTTAAACCCGTGGCCACGCCTCCTAAAATAAAGGATAAAATCGGGTATGTTTGTATCCGTAGCATTTTTGGAGATATGCTTAACCGAACACAGGGACAAGCATTTATTGGTAGAGTTTGCTTCCCTGTTGATTCAACCTTCCTTAAGTGGTGCCAATATAGATATTATTATAAAATTGGTAATTATTCATCTGTAACTTATAAGATTCACACACAGGCCTGTAGGCTGGGTCCAGTTTACAGGACGACTGGGGTATTACATCCTGAATTTGGAATGTTTAATCACTCTGGATGGCTATTATTTGAAAACAAAACAAGGAGGTATGTCTTTAAAAATGCCAATAATGAATGGGACCTCTCAGAGATTGTGGATGGCCCGAAATTGGGACAGAGAGTGCATAGTCCAGGGTTACATGATTATAAATTCACCGTGGACGAATACATTGTTAACCAGACAGTGTGGAAAAACTACACACAATATTATAATATATTTAATTGGACATGGTGTTATAATTTTAGCAGACAAAATTGTGTACAGAATCCTCTTCATGCTGTATATCTGAATGCCTCTCATATGCATCTTGAGGTGAATAATACGTGGCATAGGTTTGATAATCAGTCCTGGCAACCTGTATTGGTTGTCACACCTAAGGATATTTTGGAAAAACACTTTTATAATGTTACATTTCTGCAGGTAGATTATACTTATAATGGATCTAAAGGAGAATCTTCAAAGTGGCCTTATTATAAATGCGAAGACTGTACCTTTAAGTTTTATGATAATTTCTTTGGGACTTTGATTCCCGTGTTTAATTTGAGTGATGACAAAATCAGAGTGAATGTCCATAATATGTCAATCCGGATGGGAGTTGATTCTAATTATGTGGACACTAAAAATGTTAGTTTAGCTATGGAAAAATCTATTTGCAGATGGTTTCCACATTCATGGCAATATGTGATTGGTATTCATAGGTCTATTATGCATAATGATTCCACGTACTATGATATTCCTCTTGATGTAAATATAACTGGAAATGTTTCCAAACATTATGAAGGTGGTAATGTTGTATTAGGCAATGAGGAAAAACAAACGAGGGATTATACTTTACATCCAACAGTATATTCTCTTGCATTTGTACCACCAGATTTGGATGAAGTTACTTTAGTGAATTACAAAACAGAAACTTACCTGGTAAATGCTGATGACTACTGGTCATTGAAGACTGGGTGCCCTAGAGCACAGCTCTGGGATACTATAATTAGATACCATGTGGATGTAGCAGATAGAAGAACTCTGAAATGGTGGTTGACACAAGGAATGGATTTCTCTACTTGGTCTAGTAAAATATATCCAGGAAAATTACCTTATTACTGGTATATGTTATTGCCAGGAAGTAATAATGAATGGAATCTTTATGATATTGTAACACATGATGTTTTACATAATAATACTGATGTGTTTGATGCACATGCAGGTAATCATATTATATATAGTACAAAGATGGATATGCAGAAATGCTACATGGAACCGACCTCTTTGAATCCTTGTTTAATCGATAGGGGAGGATTTAATGAAACCAGGGGATGGGTTACTGCCCATTTCCCAAGAGCGGTCCTCTTCCCACGCAAGGAAAAGGACGGTAATTTTATGAAGACTTTAGAGGCTCCAGGATTTTTACCTTTACTACATCAGCCAGTTAGATTTTTGATACAACCACAAGTACAGCCAATTGTGTTACGATTGTCTGTTAGTGATTTGTTGAAAGGTGAAACTGTATGTCCTTCTTTTGAGTCTACTGTGTTGCCAGATTTGTTTTATTCAGTTCAAAGAAATGCAGCAGGACGGAGACCTTTGCAGTTCGCAGCGATTGGCGCTTTCCTGGCCGGAGCAGCTTTGGGGGCAGCAATCGCTGGAGCAATGACGGAGGAACTTCGAGTGGAAATTTCAGCTCTGCGAGGACTTCAGAATAAACAGAACTTTGTTATCTCACAATTATCTAAAAATCTGCACTCCGCATCTTTACTTATGGAAAGACTTTCTGCAGAACAGGAACTTTTGAAACATCATGTTGATTCATTAAGTAAGGTGATTGAGACCATGGATGCATCATGGAATGTGCGTATGAAACAATTGGAGGCAACTCAGGAGTGTGAACATTTGCAAGCAATGATCACCGCGGGATTAGAAGAAATAAGACTGTTATTTAGAACTGGCATAGGCATGGAAACTGCATCAGCTATAACCATATTAGATCCTACAAAGGATTCTTGGTGTGAAACTGGTGTCTGTATGATTAATTTATGGCAAATGTCGACATCTAAGGTTGTAATAGGATATCCAACTAAGGCTATACCGAAGAAAATTGGTAAAGATTGGATAATACCATTTGATAAGTTTTATTGGTTAAAATGGGACAATATGTCATATTATGTGCCTAGTGAAGCCACTTATGCGATAGGTAAAACAACTGTTATAGCCTATGATCTTTTCTCAGATGAACCTAGGACTTCTGATATAACTATATCTATGCCTCAGGCTACTTTGTTAGATCTTGGGAATTTTAATATGTTGTCTTGTTATCCTGAACCGTACATGGTTCAACGATGGCAAAACATTTCTTATAGTGATTCTTTGAGTCTGAATGCTGGTTGCCATATACATACTAATGTCATGATGATGGAACATATGAATTTGACCGTTCAGAAACATCTGTTTAGGAGTTTGAATTTTACTAACACGAGAAATGTACGAGTCCTGACTCAGGTGGTTTATTTGTCTAATCATACTTTTGGGTTACATACTTTTGTGCCCCAGCCACCTCTGTCGGAAGAATATAAACATATGATGAAGGCGACGGAGGCAGCTAAGTCCATTTATGCTTCATTGGGAAAGGAAATTGAGACAGTACATAATCAAACTACTGAACTTCTCCAAAGATTCTCAGGAGAAACTCATAAAGTTAAAATGTTGGTTGATTCCGGATACTTGATTCCGCGTGACTTTCAGTATACTTATGATTGTAGTTTTGTAGGTTTCTTTAGAAAATTGGTTCATGCAGATGTTAGTTGCATTATGAGATGGAACCCTTTCCATTGGCTTAAGGAAGGATTGCTATATGTATGTTGTTTTGTATTATTTGTATTATGTATTAAGGTTTGTTTAAAGATTAATAAGTCTGCAGGAAAGAAAACTTACATTAAAATGGATAAACTTCAACATTACAGGGACCATGAAGCGAAAGGCACTAAGAAAATCAAATCTAAGAAGGAGAAGGACGGAAAGATCGAGGAATTATTCTGAACAGTTGCACTATGCAAATTGTCATCTTTGCATCGAATTTCATGTAAATACATGGTTTTTATATAGTGCATATACACTGTTTGGGCAGGAACGTTTTTCTCTTTTATGTAGACTAGTAACCTTACGCAGTGGACCATGGTGTCCACTGGATAGGACCTTGGAAGGCCAAGTGCCCTCTTTGTGTGTGTTTTTGAATCATGTTTGGAATTGTATTTCTGATAATAATTTGCATTGTGATGTTTATTGTAGATATAATATACATTTGTGTGTTAAGACTTTATTTGGATTGTTCACTGAAGTGATGAAGTCTGATCATGATTTATTAACCTTACACTCTAATGCAGGTGCTTTTTATGTTAATGGACTTATTTCACTTAACTATAATAGATCATTATTATTTGGTGATAATGTATTATGTAGAATCAATTCGCAATGCAGACAAAGGAATACATATGTTCCTAGATCTTTATTTGACATATGTTTAAGAAACATTTGTAAGCCTTACTTTATTAAATTATGGACTTATGTGGATTATCATCAACACTTACCTAAGATTGGTTAATATTATAGAATTTCTTGAGGAACTATGTCTGTGGACCAGATAATCATCAAACGGATATTAGGACGCAAGCTGAGGAACGACCTATTATTCAGGAAGGACCGGATGACTCCAATTCCGATGTTCTCTGAAAAAGATGTTAATTATCCATTTATGATAGTTCACAATTTGGTGATAGATTTGGATCTAGTAAAGGATTTGGATTTGGACCTTTATTTACGATTGAAACAACTTTTCGTCCCAAGAGTGAAAGCTCCCTTCTGCTGTGAGTTTCGTGCTATGCTTCAGCCTTTTCTGCACTCCTGTGTGGTCGGTGGCTGCATGGATGCCGTGGATTGCATCTTCCAATCTGAAGATTGGTTTGCAGGGCCGCGACAGCCCATACGTTTCCCCGAGGACGGGCAACTTCCGAATGGACGACCTAAGACAGGGGACCGTACTTGTCGCTTTGATACATCGGCACCATCAGTACCATCGGCGCCTCCGTATCAAGGGGGTGGAATGACAGGAGTAAACATCAAGGACGAATAAACAACATGAATCAGCAAAAGGACTTGTTTTGGACTTGTTTTGGACTTTGCAGTGACTAAGTGACTTTTTAGTTGTAAACATGTTTTGGTTATAGGATGACTAGATAGTATGCCCATGTTAGATAAGTTGATGATGTAACTAGGTAGTGTGCTTATGTTAGATAAGTTAGACATAAACAAGTTTGTTGTAAACATATAGAGTATATAAGCGCGAGGGAAACTCCATGTATTTGCTCACAATCAACTCTCATCGCCTGAAAGTAAGATCGTGCAGTGTGAGCCAGTCACCTCGTGTATTGCTTTGTGTGGTGTGCGAATAAACCAGCATTTCAAAAGGCAATCGAGTTCGTGCTTGGTGTTCGCGTACGTCGCGGTCCGGGGTCCAGTGCAGATATCCGGAAGGGAACTCCTGGTAACCAGACAAGGCTGAGAAGCTGCTCGTGACACTGCCGAACACTAAAAAATAAATATTAAAAAACTCTCTGTCTCTCTCTCTCTTAAAAAAAAAAAAAGAACAGCATCTATTTTCCACATTTCCCCCCACCACCACCATTAGAGAAATAACTTCAAAAAGTTTCAATTTTCTTTTGTTTTGTTTTTGGAGAATCTATGAGTTCAGAAGAAGAGTCAGAAAAGAATGTGTTTGGAAAGTGACAGCCCCCTTCTTGCACAGGTACAGCCCCCTGAGGCCCCTTTTGAGGCCAGCTCCTGGTGAAGGTATTCTGTGAGCCCACCTCCTAACACCCCACCTTGCCACAAAATGACAGAAATGTTTATACACTCACGTACCCAATGTGGACTCACCAGGAAATGGACAGTACCACCATGGTCCCTCTTAGCAATGTCAAATTAGAAATAAATACATGTCTCCAGCTGGGTATTCCATGTGTTTTTATTTGGGAATCACACAGACACCAAATCAAGATTTAAGTCAGAAATTCTCCAGGTACAATTACTCTCATAATGTGTGCCAATCATCTCAGTAAACACAGGATCCTGAACCTGATTTTTCTGCTAGAGCAATCAGCAAGGAAGAGGCAGCCCCTGCTTCCACTCCTGGAGCTTGCTCATACTCTGATGGTTTTATTGGTCATCTAAAGACTGTGTGCCTCACAGTTGTTGGGCATCCTTTAAATTGTCAAGCATTTACCCCCCAAATAATACTGTGTTGGCAAAATGTCTTTGAGTTTCTATGTAAAAAGGGAACGTGATGGGAAGAACAAGATCATTTGTAAATCCAATGATTTAACAATAAACAAATAAAACCAGTAAGAAACACAAAATTTCTTAATTATTTAACTTGAGTTCAATTTGCCAGTTAAGGTTCTTTGAGGAAATAGGCCAGGTCCCATATAATAAACATTCCATCACCAGTGTCATTCTGGAACATAGAAAGGTGGGAAAGAGAAGTGGCTAAACCCATGAATTGTGGTGTCAAGCTAAGATAATTTAGACTCAGGCCTAGACTCTGCCTTCTGAAGGGCTATGTGACTTGGGACACGTGGCCTAAACTTTCTGAGTCTTGGTTTTCCCATCTAAAAACAAAAGGAATAATAACAATGACTAGCCGTGTGAGGATTAAACCAGGCAATGCATACAGAATACTTAGCACAACACCTTACATATGGTGACCCCAAGTAACTGTCAGTGGTGATTATTGTTGTTGATGAGGTTGTTGTTACCACAGGGATGGTCTGTTAAGCTAAAGGCCGCTGAGACTCCAAGGTCTGGATTTCGAGCTATTTTTGCAAGCAATGAACTACTAAAAATAGGAGGCAGTGTTTACTCTCAGTGCTTTGGAGAACAGCTATGACTTGGTCTCTGACCAAGTAGATTCGGTGGCAGTGAACTAAACAGTCTTGTAACTGCCTCTCAGCTCAGACCACATCCTGACTAGACCTCGTTCCATGGAGGTTTGGACAACCCAAAAAAGCAGGCCCAACAGATTCAACAGGCCAGGCCCTTCAGGAAGCTTGCCAAGAGGAACAGGCCCTTCTCCTTTGCTGTTTCACCCAGAAAGCGGCAAAGATGGCAGAAGCCCAGGTGACAAACTGGCTATGAGTTGTATGAGTTCACAGGCTTGTGGTGACCCTTCCTTCACCACCACCCATAGAGCATCAAGGCAAGCCTCTTAGAATGCAGGGCTCCGAGGCAGGCAAGTCCTTCCTGGGAGCTGAGCAGCAACGGGGCATTGGGCTACAAACCATCCTGCAGAACTAGCCTGGCTATCATCCTAGGAACACCCAGACTTGAACTTGTCCTTGTCTGGAGGGTTTATCTAAGAAGAGATGATTCCTCTTATAGATATGTCATTCCTCTTATAGATATGTCACATACCTTTGAAACTTCAGTAGAAATTGAATTCATTTCATGGGTTTTTCATTTGTAAGAGCATGCTTTCATAACAATATATTGTGTAACAAATGATTTTAAACATACACACCATTGGTTGCACCATATGATGTGTGTGTTTGTATAAGTGTGCATGCTACCAATACTGAGGAGTGACAGTTTTCTTTTCCTATCTCTCATCTCTTCTTGGCCCAATCTTTATCAGATCTAGTATGTGTTTCAGTCTAGAGTCACATGTTGTCAATGATTCTATAGTCACATGCTGATAGTCATCACCAAGTGATGAAGGGCATCTAATCGCTTAAAGATTTTCATTTTTATCATTATATATATATATATTAATTATATATATACATATATATATAACATACATATAACATATATGACATAGGATATTTTATGAAAATATCCTAGTAAAAATAATAGAGAAGGCAATAGGAAGCAAGAATAAAGAAAAATTGCAGTACAAGATACAATACAAGGTACCAAGAATGAGTAATTCTTGGGGCTGGGGTTGTGGCTCAGTGGTAGAGCGCTTGCCTAGCAAGCGCTGGGTTTGATTTTCAGCACCACATTTAAATCAATAAAAGTCTATTGACAACTAAAATAAATTTAAAAAAAAAGAATTCGTAATTAATTCTTACACACACACACACACACACACACACATACAAAATAGAATCATAGCCAGGCACAGTGATGCACACCTGTAATCCCAGTGGCTTGGGAGGCTGAGGCAGAAGGATCACAAGTTCAAAGCCAGCCTCAGCAACAGCAAGGTACTAAGCAACTCAGTGACACCCTGTCTCTAAATAAAAATAGGGCTGGGGATGTGGTTCAGTGGTTGAGTGGCCCTGAGTTCAATCACCAGTACCAAAAAAAAAAAAAAAAAAATAGAATCATGGATCCAAGAGTTTGGAAGGAGCTTAAAGAAATTATCTAAATGCTGGAACTTGGGGAAAACTAAGTTATGTGCAGGCCATGTGACTGTGAAAAGATATATGTGTGTGTGTGTGTGTGTGTGTGTGTGTGTATCTCCAAGGACTCTTCTACTATCAGACTTCAGCAAGGTTTCTTGGTACAAATGAATATCTCAAAGTCAATAGTGATCCTGTATACCAGCAGAAAAAATGATAAGATATAATTTTTTTAAAAAAAAGATTCCATTAACAATAGCAACAAAAACTTTCAGGAACTTATAAAAAGATCTAACAAAGGAAATATAAGGTCATTTATGGAATGAAACTTCATTGAAGCACATAAAAGATCCAAAAATGAGGGCTGGGGTTATAGATCAGTTGGTAGGGCACTTGCCTAGCACATGTGAGGCACTGGGTTCAATCCTCAGCACCACATAAAAATAAAATAAAGGTATTATGTCCATCTACTATAAAAAAATTTTTAAAAAGATCCAAAAATGAAAGGCTATACCATGTTCATGCATGGAATGGGAAGGCTCAAAGATGGCAATTCTTCCCAAATGAATCTAAAGATCTATTTCAAATACAATTAAAACATATATGTTTGCCCCCGGTGGCATTGACAATGATATTAATCCTTAAGTTAATATCAAAAAGTAAAGAAACAACAATAACCAAGATGACATGGAAGAACAAAGACAATTCAGCACACTGAATAACAAGCTTATTATAAAGCTACAGTAATTACAAAAGAATGGCACTGGCGTGGAGACAGACAAATGCAACAGCAGAACAGAATAAAGAGCCATAAACAGACACATGCTTATGGTAAGACTTGATCCATGAACAGAGATAACAGTGAAAATCAGTAGGAAAAGGATAACACCATTCAATAAATGGCATTGGGCCAGTTAGTTTTCCACTTGGAAAAGCAAAAAAACAAAAAAATAAATAAAGTCTATACTCCAACTCATTTGCAAAAGTATTTTCTAGGTCAATTTAAAAAAAAAGAAAGAAAAGCAAAATCTAAATACTATTATGGCCTCAGGGTAGGAAAACACCTAAAGAATAACACTGGTAAATCTGACCACAGTGAAATTTTTAATGAAAACCATCATTTTAAAAAGTGAAAGATAAGCTAAAAATTAGAAGGAAATATTTCAGCTCATAAACTTCAACAGTGTTTTTTTTTCAATACATATATCAATGCATAAAATCCAACAAAGGATTATTGTCCAGAATATATAAATTCACACAACTCAATAAGAAAAAAAATAGTTTGACAGGAGAGTAGACAGAGTATAAGAAGAAGAAATTCTCAGGAAAGAAATATAA